TAACAAAAGCTTTTCTCCAGGTCATTGGAAACATACTTCCTTTCACACTACTCCCCACATATAACTCTCTAGGTGTGCATGAATAAAATACTGTCAGCAGTTATCTGGCCAACACCACCATTAACACAATCTGCATTATTCATGTCATCATTTCTCACTAATAAATGCCTCCAGAGCTTAACATTCTAATCAGATTTTAAGAACATTTCTTCCACAGCTAAGCAACCAGTACAAAGGATATCAATCATGGGCAAAATCCGGTTCTTGATTTAGGAGACTTTGCGAGGAAATTGCGGCAGTTCCACAATATTAGAGTAGCCATCATTGAGTAATTAAGACACAATAACATGCTGAATAAATACTAATTCAGAAGTCAAACAACAAAAATCAGCGTTATATTTTCAAAATTTTCACAGGACTAGTTTCGATGGTTTTACCAAACCTGGTTTCACCAACAGATGGCGCCACTTGCTTATTTTTGTCCAGGCTTTCTTATCTTATGTAATCATTATTTCCTATCTTGTTCATCTGCGGTTTTGCAGCTGAGGATGGTGGTTTGGTAAAACCATCGAAACTAGTCCTGTGGAAATTTTGAAAAATATAACGCTGATTTTTGTTGTTTGACTTCTGAATTAGCATAATTGAGTACTTATGTTGCCAATGCTGCTGCTTAGTTAGATGAGGAAGGAGACTTTTGGGTAATTCCAATCCCTTTTCCATTTCCGCATTCTCAGCATTCAAAGGAGTTCAACTGATATCTTGAGTTTGGGCTGCTTAATTTTTTTCATAATTTTCCTATATTTAGAAATACTTTTATTTTCAGTTTCCTGCTGAATTATTGCTTCTTTTTTTGGTTTCAGATGAAGTACTACTTTTAGATGATGTTTGTGCAGTTTCTTACAGTATGTGCTTGTAGGAATTTAGAGTTATTTTCACTAATAAGTTAAGTCTTATGCTTTCCTATAAGCCTCCATTCCCCTAATTGTCAACGCCAGAATATTTAAATTTGTTAGCATCCAAATTCTACTACAAAAGGAGGAAAAAAGGTTTAAATACTGAGTCCTAGAAGGCAAAGTTAGAGAGTATGAACAAGCACCATACCTCTATAGTGCGAGCTTCTAGTTCTGAATTTCTTGTTGGTTAAAGTGGTGTAACAGCCTATCTTTGCTGCCACTAGATTCGACGTGGTTTTAGGTAACAGGATTATCTTAGTCCTGTAGAGTAATTCTACTGCTTCTTAATATCTCCGAGATTTTAGTTTAATTCTTGTTATTTGAGTTATCGCTCGAGTGAGACATAGTTTGTTAGTGTCAAATTGACCCATTGTGAATTTCAAAGAGTTTAATAAGGGGTTCTTTTTAACCCTTCTCCTGTGTGGTTCCTACACATACTTCAGCTGTCACTTAAGAAGATAAACAAGTAGATATTACATGATAATAACTGTCTGTGAGCCAGTTGACTTTACCAATTTTACAGCGTAAAAATTATTTGAATGTTGCCGTGGATTCCCTACCCTCTTAGCTTCTGCATATGATATGAGATATATATCAGAGAAATATTTTGAAAAGAAAAACTTATCTTTAAACATTATCATATTACTTTCAAATAATTTTTATGCTCTTAAACAAAAGGGGGAAAATGATTATCTGCCTCCTCCCGAAAAATCACCAACCACTGACCACTGGCAACTACTTTTTCACCAAGCTAAAATATGAAAGAGAACCAGTTTCAAAAATGAGTTACATAAAGAATACATAAAACAGCAAGCAATTATTAAAAATTTCAAATGCAAGAAACATCAACAATAAAAAAACTCCTCCCATCCCCGATTTTCCCAGGTACATAGCAATTTGTTTTCACTTAAAACGTAAGAGAATTGCAGGTATTTGGCATTGTGAACAAATTTTGATCTGTAATATTCAATCCTTTGAGAAGTACAACTTTATAAAATGCAAATTTTTGCACTCTGTATTGTTGAACAAAATGTCATATTGCTGAAAAAATGAAAAAAAAAGACATGCTTTCTTTTCCAACAGCCAACAAATTCTACAGTCCCATTATGATACCCTACAGAAAAAGAAGAAAAAAAAAAAGGTACTCAAATGCATTGAAAATAAACACAAATTAGGAAAAGACAGTCAAATTTGAAGGCAGAAATCAGCTCTCATCTGCTATGTGTGTGTTGTGCATACCTAAATTACCACACAAATAAGCTTTGGTGATTTCATGGGTTATCTGTTTTGCTTCATGAACACTTTTGAGAGAGCTGCAGATAATCAAAAAGAACCAAAAAAATAAATAATATAGTTTACAAAAATTCCTACAGTAATATTTTCCCTAAATTTAATTCTTCACACAATTTTTTTTAATCACATTCCACATACGCAACTGGATTTCTAACACCATCAGCAACTAACTAAAAGTGCCAGAAATGAAACTTTGAATTTATTAAGGTTAACCTATTTTTCCCATCATTTTTTATGACAGAAAGACCTTAAAAAATGCTGTTTTTAACAATCTATCTGTATTTGAATAGCTAATACAAAAAAGCCACTATTTGTGAGAAATGTGCACAAACCAGTTATGAGGTGCATTTAAGTTGAAACAAATGTCTGAAAAGTTATGGATAAACAAATTATTACACATGTAAACCACATATACCCAAATTAATTTTTGTCTTCAAAAAATTAATTAAAAAAAAGACAGAGGAACATATATGGTAAGAGCTCAGCTATCCAGAAAGAATACATGAAAATTCTAAATAAATTGTGCACAAGAAGTGCCACTCATGATAAAAAAGTCAAATGAATATTTGTTACCAACTTGAATACCAAATGCCTACATTTAAATTACACTAGAACCTCGAGATACAAGTTTAATTTGTTGAAGCATTGAGCTCTTATAGCAAATTTCTCATATCTAGAAACAAATTTTCCCATTGAAAATAATGGAAATCTAGTTAATATGTCCTGCACCCCCAAAAATATCAATATAAAAATCAAGTTTCCTAATAAATAACACTAGTAAAAATAATATAACCCTAGTTAACAGTGTACTGGCTGGCGATAAGGATGTGGGGAAGACAAAACGGGTTACTATGGGAAAAGAGAGTCTACCTCTGATTCAGGAAGGCTCTTTTCTTGGGAATTTTACTCCCTCTTCTAGGAGTTTTGGACGGTGCTTGGAAGTAACAGTAACCCCTTTGGTCACATCAAGTTTCTTAATTTCTTCCTTCTGCTTCAGAATAGTGCAGATTGTCGATGTGAAACGACCATAAGTCTTTGCCAATTCTGTCACTCTTACACCCTGCTTATGTTTATTTATGATTTCTTTCTTAATTTAAAAGGGCATAGCTTCCTTCCTTTTCTTTGCAGCAATACTTGAGGAAAAAGTATTCTTGGGGGGCATCGTGAAATAATTATTTTCACATTAAATGTAAAAAACAATTAATCAAAGAACACTGAGTGACCTGACGAGGGAATTCCTCAGTCGAGTCAGATTGAGAAATGTAGCACGTGCACCAACAGCCTGACTCATTCCTCGTTACTCTAGTCAATGCTCGTATTTAGAGACAAATTTTTTGCTCATACTTTCCTTGTATCTCGAATTTCTCATATATAGAGGTGCTTATATCTCAAGGTTCCACTGTATGTGACATTTTGTAAAGAAAAAAAAAGAGCGTATCCGACAAACAGCAAAGTAAAGCATCATATTTAATTATGAAATTGCATCAAATATGAAAACTGGCAGATATCTCCCAAAATGTGCACCACTCATTTTAGTAGAAGTCAGAAGAAACAAATCATTCTTTATTTAGTTATATAATCAACATATAATAAGTGGCACGCATAACATATAAAACTTAATCACTCTTTTTTGGGGGGAGGGGCATTGAACAGCTAATGTATTCATTTTTACATAAGTCATACTTTTCTTGATGCCAGGATACCATAATTTTGAAAATACTCTACTGCAAGTGGTTTCACTGAAGACAAGTGAATTTTTAATATTTAGTACAACTGAAAAACAGATAAATAACAGTTAACTTGTTTTTCACAAAAACTAAACCAACTTATCAAGAATTAATTAAGTCTACACAAAGCCAAAGCATTACATCATCCTTAATCACTATTGGTGGTAAATTGCCCTGTTTGGGAACAGTTTCTACTCAATTCAAATCGTATTCTTATTTGTTCTTTAGAGTGGAGTTACAAATATTTTTCTAAAATTCAAAAATATTCCAATTACTTGAATTTTCTGGTCAGCTGAATGACAGATAATGGGGCTTCTATTGCATCTAAAAAGACAAATTTATCTAAAGGGGAAAATATTGTAGAAATTTACAGTATACACTTACTATAAGATGAGAGCTCTGATGCACATGGAGAAAATGCTAAATAACTTCAATAATAAAATTGTTTCCTTAATTAGAATAGGTTAATAATATAGTATATCTTTGTTAAAATGTTTACTAACATATAAGAAGAAATTCTCATTAAATTTGACAAGCTGAATTTTTCTGGAAACCAAAATATTTTTTGTTACATTCAAAAATAAATGCAGATCACAGACATTTGCAGATTAAGCAATAATGAATAATTGGCATATACTGCAGTTAAAATGCCAGTTTTTAATAGCGAATATTAGCTTTACTAAAAACAGCTTTTGAATTATTTTGTTACATTTGGACTGCACTAACAATGGATTCCCTCACTGTGTTAAATCTGATAATCAAGAATGTAAACACATAAAAATACTGTTTCACAAAATGAATTTTTTTTTTTTTTTTTTTTTTTTTTTTTTTTTTCTTCCAGTTTATAAGTCTACAGCAATGGCTTTTTTTTTTGGGGGGGGGGGCGGGAACCTAAAATATTACAATATGGCAAGAAACCAATATACAGGAAATAGAGCATGATAACTACTTACAATAAAAAGTAAAATCACATTTAGTTGCATATAAAAACATGAAGGAAATATTTTAATCTTTTATGATTACTTACCCCATTCCTTAGGTGCTTCACCTGCACAATCCATTGGAACTTTATCCATACACTTTTTATGAACATTAAATTTGCAGTCTGCAACAACAATGATAAAGCTGCATTAGAAATTAGTAATACAAAGAAATGAGAAGTTAAATGTAAATAATTATGCCATGATCTGCCTATTACAAAGTTATTCCTCTAATATTCATCATGGTACTTTTAAACATATTAAAATTAAATATAAATAGCTTTGCCAGTTTGTTTAATAAAACAAAGATGCAAGTAACATCCAAAAAGTAATATACTTGTCAACTAACCAAAAAAAAAAAAAAAAAAAAAAGACTGAAACAAATTAGATGAACAAGACTTGTTTGATTCAAATGTACACATTTGGAGCATATTATTTCATTTAGGCACTTATCATAGCGGGAAATGAGTTTTTATACATCTCTATCTACCTCCAATTCATTGAGAAATGCAGTTATATCATTTGCGAAACTCTTCACTTACAGACTACTGAATTATTACTACTACAATTAACTATGTTACTATTAAATTATTATTACTACAACTATCTTCCATGGCAAAGCTTTGCTATGTATTTTCTATTCACATAACAGTTACTTCAGAACTTTTAGAGGAAGTCTGCTGCTTATTGAATTAACTTGTCCCCATCAATTATTATCTTTGCACTGCTGACAACAATAACATATAGCAAACAGTGCCATATCAAACACTGTGATAAAAGTACACAAAAGCTAAAGCAAGTGACAAAACTACACAAAAAACTTATGTTCTGGTATGATAAATATCTGAGTGTTGCAAATGCTTTTGTGACATAGTAGAAGGTATGGACATTGGAAAATAAAATGTTCTGTTCAATTAATTTCTTTTGTTCTTTTTTTAATACTAAATGAGTGCTATTTTTACTTCCTTGTACAAAGTAAAGAAAGTATTGTAATTACGAAAAATGATGGGCACAATATTTCATCATTAATATTCATTTTGACCACTACTGAATGCAATTTAATGATGTTTTTGCTTGACATCTGTACATAAGAACAGAATACAGGACTGTTTTTTCCCAAACGAATTACAAAACTGATTTAAAATAAATTCAGAAGAGATTGTTTCATGGCATCTATATGTATGTATGTATCATAAATATCTCAAAATAAATAGCCTCATAATACTGAAATTTTATATATAGGACTGCTATAGCATGTAGTTCAGCACCTCCATTTCTGGTAGCAATCTGCCACACCAAAAGTACGTAAATAAATATATATACCCACTCTGTTACTCGACTCAGTAAACTCAGTTTTTTTTTTTAAATTCTTATATGTTGGTACATTGTGCATTTTTTTGGGGGGGGGGCTTTAAAAATGATTGAATCATGTTGTTATTATCTTTCAGTTAGGGTTTTATGCCTTTAATCTGCATGCAATAGTTGTAAAATTATCACAATTTAAAAGCTGTTAAAGTGCAGCTAAGCCTTTTTTTTTTTTTTAAACCATAGCAGCCATTTTGATTTACATTTAAAACTTAGCAGAATAGTGAATTAAGTCTTTCAGCACCTTTTTACCAAATGGGACAAAAAGGAAACTGTTAGTTTTGCAGACTGAAAAATCTGTCTTCTTGCCTGCTGGCTGAACTGCTTGCTTTTGCATAGAAACTGAAATTTTAATAGCAAAATTGTTTTTTTAATTATTTTAACTGTATTTGGTGTTTTATGTTTTTCTGTAATTTTCAATTTTTATTGAAAATATTTTGAGTGTTTATGAATTTTTGCCTTTCCGCAAAATGAAAACTGAATTAATTGAATGAGAAATACATTTCTAATGAAATTCGAGGAAATAAGTTTAAAAATGATGCAGGTAAAAAATGTGTATAATTTAATATTCTGTACAAGGAAGTCATGTGGTGCACACATCAGATTTTTTGGATATGCTGTATTCTTCTTAAACAAATTTGAATGCAAAACAACAGAAAAGAACATTTTCACTGATATGTGAATGATAGGAAAAGATTATTTTTACACATAACATGAAAATTTAATTTTTAATTATCTTGTTTACTTGCTTTTAATTCTTTACAGATCCTTTGATATTAATAGCAATATTTAAATTATTATAATGTAATTCTAAAATCATATTCATACACAAGTTCCATTCTAATGGCATCAATAAAAATCTTAGTAAAAGTATAAACAAGAACATGGCCAATTATAAAAGCATGATAAAAAGAACAAAATTCTCACTATACCAGTTATTATTACCCAAAAGAAACTGAAAAATATAACAACTTACAATTGCTATTATCATCCATTTCATATTCCATGTAATAATATCTAAAATGCAGGAGCTATTATTACTGATAATCTGTTGATAAAAGATCATATATTACCAGCAAAGAATTTTCTGAGCTTCCAGTAAAATATGAATTTAATATTGATTTGATTTCACCTTTTTCAAAAATGTTTTACTCTGGATATTTTCTGAATTAAGAATTTTCACTGTATTTCTTCCACAAGGGAAGAAACCATACTTAACTATAATAACAATTTTCTTTTAATCTAAGAGCTGAACTTTTAACAAATTTGTAAATAATTAAGTAGCATCTTTACTGCAATTTTATTATGAAAATAATTTAGCAATTTTTGACACTGTTCCACATAAGAAAGCTTCATGTAATGGATCTAACTTTACATAATTTCCATTAAGAATTCATTTGTGTCATATATGCATCAAATTGTTATACAGTCAAAAGTCTTTAATCCGGACTCGTCGGGACTTCGGCGATTCCGGATTATCGATTTTTCCGGATTATAGATCATCAGTTTAAATCTGGTAAGATGGCATGCAGAAATTATAAAATTAAAAATATGAAACCGTAATTTATAAAATAATGAGCAATTAGGATCTAAAGGGTATCAAAATTTACCAAAAAAGAAGCCTAATATTTATTTGTTTACTTTATTAAACATTTCTTTCAACGCGCGGATGCGTAAAGCATACCTTACGCATAGCCGAAATTAGAAAATTGCAACCAGAAAACTATTTGATTTGTATTCGTGGTATTTGATAAACAGATTTCGGAACGGTTAGATAAACAAAGAATATGCCTTTATCCATTTTTTTGTAGCAATTCGTTTTTTGTTTGATGGACATCGAAACATACTTTCGTTTTCTAGATCCTTTGGGAGCTCCAGCATCGGAAATTCTATTTGACATAATCAAAAGTTCAAGCTTACTTTTAGAAAATTGCTCTTACAGTCTGCAAAAAATAATAAGCCGGATCCAATTCGAAGATTAAGGAACAACGCAATCATCAACATTAACTGAAATAGATAATTAGATAATTTTAGCTTATAGCGTCCGTTATACGTTAAATGCGCACGCGAAAACGTATTCTGCACTTGCGAGACGCATATGTGCAGTCGTAAATGTCTTGGGCGCACGAGTAAAACGCCTATGCGCATGCGTCAATGCGGCGCATGCACAGAAAGATTTTAGCTTTGAGGTCCGGATTATAGATCATTCCAGATTATGGGTGTCCGAATTAACGACTTTTGACTGTATATATTATTTATAAAAATTCGATTTTATATTGAAATGACTCAAATCAGAAAACTCCCGATATACCCAAACACTTAAAAAGACAGTATTTTCCATCGAGTTTTGGTTTTGTAAGGGAATTGGAGTTTTTTTCACATAGTTCATAAATTCCGTACCAACTGCATACAAATTGCATGAACAGTGTTTCTACATGCATTAAAACTGTAAGAAATTCAGAACTTTTTATTTAAATTACCATAAACAGATTAATTGCTTTAAAAGTATTTTTTATGAAGAATCCATGGAACATGTTTTGTTTTAGGGAATGAGACAATAAAAAGTTAACAAAAAATATAACAAATTTCAACGATCTTATTCACTTAAATGCCAAGCTTTTTAAATAAAACAATGTAGAGTAAAAAGTATGGAAAAAAGAAGAAGGAAAAGAAAGGACAAAAATTATCACATCAGAATTATTTTAAATATGATTAAAACAACAAATAATGTAAACTTTATAAAACTAATAATGACATAAATAAATATAATACCATAAGATAAATAAATATATAATTATAGACTGCCTGATTAGAGTAATATACAGTAAATATATTACTCGGTAACTCTGAAAATGACCTGCACAGAAAATCAGTTTAAAGGATATGTCCCTTTAGTATTTTTTGTATGGCCTGGCAATTTCCAATTGCTGCACATTACATGGAAGTTCAATCTTAACAGATCGCACGCACTGGTTATATATGAAATACATGAAAAAAATACTCATATCTTTTATTTAACATCTTATTTTTAAGTACTCTAATTGCTGCCAATCTCCACACATAGATAAATTCATTCTTAAATTCATGGAGGCCAGGTATTTTCAAAGATACAAGGTCTACCTAAAAAGTACCCAATCTTGAATTTTCCTGTGCATAGTAGTGATGGTGCCACTTTGCACAGTGGAAAGAGCTTAATGCACATGCTTCAATTTTTTCTCGGCACTTCAGTCAGTCGTTGCCTACTAGTTGTCAAGTGAATTTTTTTTTCCTAAGTGTACACTGAATTTTGATTTCTGTTAAAATGACTGAATGAGTTGAACAATGGTAATGTAAAACATTTTGTCAGAAACTTTGTGATTCTCAAAGCAAAACAATTCGTTAGTTTAAGCAGGTGTTTGGAGATGAGGCTATGAGAGTAACACAAATTAAGGAGCAGTTCAACTGATTCAAAAATGGTTAGACACTGGTGGACAATGATCAGCATTCAGGGAGGTTACAAACAGCTCGAAATGCAGGTGCTGTTGAGAAGACAGAAAATCTAATGATGGGAGATCGTCGTTTGACCACATGAGAGATTGCCGAACAAGTTAAGATCAGTAAATATTCTGTACATGCAATTTTGAGTGGTAATTTGAACATGCACAGAGTGGCTGCGATATTTGTGTCCAAGCTTTTGTTGGCAAAACAGAAAGAATTTTGTCTTGAGGTTGCACAAGACCTGCTGACACTAATCGTGAGTTTCTAATAGCATGATAACTGGAAATAAGTCATGGGTGTATAGTTACGACTTGAAAAAAAAAGCAGTCATCGCAATAAAGCATCCCAGATACCGAAGGCCAAAAAAACGCAACAGGTGATGCTAACTATGCTCTTTGATATCCAAGGAATTATGTGTCAAGAATGCATGCCTGAAGGGCAAACAGCGAGAAAAGAGTACTATCAAGAAGTTCTCTGCCGACGGCGTAATGCAGTTAGGTGAAAAACACCTGACCTCTGGACTGCAAAAAATTGACAGTTGCATCATAATAATTCATCTCATTTACCACATGTGATAATTCACCACATCTCATTCACCACATGACACTTTCTTGGCAAAACATGGAATTCCAATCATTCACTAACCTCCCCCCAGACATGGCTCCTCGGAACTTCTGGTTGTTTCCGGAATTGAATGCATAATGCAACGGTGAAGTTGAACACCATTCTGAAAGAAGCCTGAAAGTGTTTTCAGCAGTGGAAGGAATGGGGGGTTAAGCGCGTGGAGATGCAAGTGGCCTACTCTGAAAGAAATTAAAGTCCCAATCCTGTCATGCGAGTAATATATTTTTCCTAGCTAAAAGTCAGGTACTTTTTACACAGACCTTGTGTTAGACTATTATAAATTATTACTAGAAAAAGCATAAATGCTACTTTAATAAAATTTGATATGAATACATAAACCACTCACCTTTACATTGCAAACCTTGCCTAATAAGTCCTTTAAGTAATTTCTTACAGTGTTGACAAACTGTAGGCCTAGTATAAGAATGGACAACAAATGTATGGGGAACTCTTATGCGGCCTGCAAGTTCTCTTTCTACCCAAACTGGTCGTCCCATATTTAAGGACGGTGATCTGGCACGACTTGGAGATGATCCACCAAACTAAAAAAGTTACAAATTTATAAACTATGTGAGATAACTAAGATAATAAATTTATCATGGAGAAGAGAAGGTAAAATTGAAGGGTGTTCAGGGGTAAATCATGAAATTTTGCAGCCGGATTCCCATTACCATGTTCACAAAAATTTTGTGGCTTCAGATTTATACTAATATTTCACAAAAGTCCAGCATAAACAGAATACTAATAAAAATAGTTAATAAATAATTTATAAACATTATGTCTTTTTAATTGATACTTAGCTTTATGAAACAGTCAAATTTTGTCATTAATATCAATGCTATTTCATGAGATCAAGATTTCTATTTCAATGTAAAGTGTTTCGATAAAGACAGTGTACATACACACAGATTTTTTTGGTTAATGCACTGTCTGTAGTCTTTAGTTAATGCACTGTCTGAACTTGAAAATGTGTAGCCATGAACATTTTCAAGTTCAGAAAAGAGTTATTTGCTTTTTTCATATTCAAGAAATCTAATACAGTCAAAAGTCGTTAATTCGGACACCCATAATCCGGAATGATCTATAATCCGGACCTCAAAGCTAAAAACTTTCTGCGCATGTGCCGCGTTGCCACATGCACACAGGCATTTTACGCGTGCGTGTAAGACCTTGACTACTGCGCATATGCGTGTGCGCAAGTGCAGAATACGTTTTCGCCTGCACGTTTAATGTATAACGGACGGTGTAAGCTAAAATTATCTAATTATCTATTTCAGTTAATGTTAATGATTGCGTTGTTCCTTAATCTTCGAATTGGATCCCGCTTATTATTTTTGCAGACTGTAAGAGCAATTTTATAAAAGTAAACTTGAACTTTCGATTATGTCAAATAGAATTTCCGATGCTGGAACTTCCAAAGGATCTACAAAACGAAAGTATGTTTCGATGTCCAACAAACAAAAAGTGGAATTGCTGCAAAAAATGGATAAAGACATGAAGAATGTGACAGAGAGGTTAGTGAAAACGAAAAAATTTCGATTGACAAGTTAGTCGGTATTCTCGGCGCAGCAATTAACGGGACTTGAACAGCGGGACTTTGTAACTGAACAAGAAATTATGTCTGTTTATAGAATTAAAGAGAAAGTATTATCACATAAAATGAAGCAACTTAAACAACTTACATTGAAAGAAATGTTTAATAAAGTAAACAAATAAATATTAAGCTTTTTTTTTTTTTTGTAAATTTTGATACCCTTTAGATCATATTTGTTCTTTATTTCATAAATTACGGTTTCATATTTTTAATTTTAGAATTTCTGCATGCCATCTTACGAGATTTAAACTGATGATCTATAATCCGGAATCACCGAAGTCCCGACGAGTCCGGATTAACGACTTTTGACTGTACACTTTCCTTTACATAAAAGACTTTGACACACAGTTTATATTAATAAAATTCATACACTGGTTTGTCCTCATCTTTAAACACAGGAATATAGCTGGGGAAAAAAAAACATAAAAAAACATACTGTTATGATCTACCTAATGATCCAAAGAAATAAACTGATGTGCATGTTCGAAAAAGTTTGGGGCAGAAGAAAAAATACTTCCAACAATAATGCTTAATGCTTTCCTACAGGTGCATACAACATGTTTAGTAATTTTAAGTTCTATGATTCTAGATTCAAAGTTCTTGTTTAGAATTTAGAGTTATTTTTTAGCATTATTTTAGTGTAAATTTGAATAAAAATACAACAGTACCTTGGTATATATATATATATCCTGTTCAGACACCAAATTTTTGCTTCGTGTACAAAATTCTTTTAAGAATACAATTCAAATTTGATGATTGCCCATAAGCATCATTATGCATGTTGGTACTATACAGTAAACAAGTGCTATAACTCTGAAAATTTTCAAAAAATGTTGTTTTCATTCATATAAATTTTTTGTAACTTCATTAATAATGAGTTTTAGACAAGTTAATGAGAAAAGTTAGGCAGTGGAGAAAATGGTTAGAATCACCATGGAACTGAAAAAATAGATTGTTAATAAGTATGAAAACAGTATGTACACAGTTTGCATGAGACATATATGCCACAGCCCCCAAGGAAAAAATTAATTTGTCTAACATTGCAAAGAGGGCAAAATCAATTACTAAATAAAGATCAGAAATATTAAAACATGTCGAAAAATTGCTTTTGATATGGGTAGCAGAAAAATATTTATATACAAGTGTCATATGCAGTGTTTTTTTTTTTTTTTTTCCCTAAGTACAGTACATATTCCACCTACTGAAATACATATTCCACTTACTGAATTAGTATTTTAGTATTAAGCACTGTTATAACAACAATTATAAAGTTTTTTTTAATGTAAAAACATATTTTTTTTTCATTTCTTACTGGAAAAGTTCATTTAGTATGCATCTAAGTACCTGGAATGAATGAATAATGTGTACTGAAGTATCACTGTATTATTATATTATTAATTTAAAAAGTGTGATTATTAATATTAAATATAAAGATAGCAATCATAACAGAAATTAAGAAAAGTAGGTAAAACAACTGAAATAATTTGATATGTACTTTCTAATTATTTGCACCTCCAGTTTCAAAATTCCATAGGTTTGCCCACTTTTTTTTTTAATGTACTTTAGAGTACACAAAAGACAATAGGCATATATGCTAACCATACATGCAAGCACACACATATGTGAAAAGACACATGGAATTTATTTGGTGGAAAATACTACATACAAGAGCAGAAAATAAGCACTTTTAAGAAATTTTAAAGGTCATTTATGTATAGACAAAATTACATGCAATGCAATCCAAAATGCAGATATCAAGCAATCAAATCAAGATATCAAACAGATATCAAGCAAAATATTTTTTCCCCAAAACAATTTTTGTTTCTTATAAATGATTCTTTATATTGTTATTTATGAACAAAATTATACCTATGTATGCAATACACTGTACCTAAAGATAGCCAGATAATATGTTTTACTAATGAGCAGTCGACTTTTTGTGGGGGTGCAGATAATCAGAAAACACCTTTGAAATTTGTAAAATCTCAAAAAATCACCTCAAATTCATGAAAATCTTCATAGATAATCTGTTATGATAAAATTACTTACTAACTAGAAAATGATGAAATAGCAAAGGAAAAATAAATTTAATAATTCAAGTACAGAAGATAAAAGTTTTGGATAATTTCTACAAGAGGGCTAAAAATGAATGTGTGTATATATATATATATATACAGGGTATTCTGTTAATGCTGCAACAAACTTCTAAGTAAAGTAGGGTACATCATAAGGATTAAGAATTGCATAGGAAGCCAAGCCCGGAAATGCCAGGGGTAAGTGTTTGCAGAGGTAGAAGATGGAGAAGGAAACAACACAGTGATTAATTTTAAACATTTATTGGGCATGAATACAAATGGTGTACGACAGCTTGAATGTTACAACAGATGCTCAAAGTTTGCACCATCAGATGCCAAACATGCCTGACACCATCAGACCATTGATTGCCAGACATGTTCAAACATACCGTGAGTCTCTTTGATTGTAGCTGCTGCACAGGCGAGTCTTGCCACGAGATCCATTTCAGACACAAGAGGATCATGATACACAAAATTTTGATGGCTCTCCACAAAAAGAAATCAAGGCTCAATAAGTCTGGTGAGCGTGTGGGGCCAGGGATCCTGTCCAACACACCCAATCCTTCGATGTGGGAATGATCTGTTCAAATGGCTACAAACATCCAGTCCAAAATAAGCAGGTGCCCCGTCATTTTGGAACCACATATTATGCCTCACATTTGGTGGAACATCGTCAAGCAAGCCAGGAAGAACCTGCTCCACAAAATATCAGATAATTCGCGGCATTCAACCTGCATGGTAAGAGGTACAGCACAACTAAGCAGTCGCCAAACAACCCTGCTAACACATTAACTTTGAAGCATTTTTATGCCGCACGCAGTGAGGGTTTTTTTGAGCACACAAATGCTAATTGTGGTGATTGAATATGCCATCCCCATTGAATGTAACCTCCTCCATGAACGGCACATAAGCTGGGAAAATAACATTACAGGCAATTTCTTGCAGAAACTACTAGAATGGTCACTGGGAAGCAGTAACTGAACCCTCTGGTGACAAGAGGCGTAGAAGGACTGGGCATTCGAGACATGCTGGACACTGGTATGAGACATTCTTAATTGAAGGGCAATAGCACTTATGCTGGTCCTTGGATTACTTTCCACCACATCCAATACATGTTCTTCCCTAACGAGTGACCGAGTCGATCATGGCTTGCCCTCACTTATCCTGCCACTTCTTAATGGCCCATAGTTGCATAAATTTTGCAGACATGCAAACAAACTGTGGTGTGGTTGATATTTGTCCGAGAAGCGTTCTCAATAAATGCGTACAGTGGCTTGCCCATTATCATTATTCTCAGCTATTCCATATACTTAAGTGCATGTCTACAAGCTCCCTGTTGGTATAGCGTTCCATTCTCTTCGTATGGTGCATACTGCTCGAATGAGGCAATCCTCACTTTCCACTAGCACTCTGCTGTACAGCACCCCCTGGCGGTGTACAATGACATTTTTGGGCATGGGTCCCTATGCAATTCTTAATCATTATGATGTACCCTACTTCCCCCAGAAAGTTTGTCGCAACATTTACAGGACACCCTGTATACACTACTGAATGTCTTTAATAAAGTATGGGAGTCAGGTTAGATTCTGGCAAATTGGAGAAGAGCTGCTATTATTCCAGTCCTAAAGAAAAGTAAGAATCCAAGGCAGCACGACAGCTATAGGCCCATTTTGCTTATCAGCATTTTTGCAACTATGGAAATACTAGTAGAAAACTGTTTGAACTAGTATCTTGAGGAATATAATATTTTAGATGTATAACAGGATGGATTCTGAAGGAATAGGTCAATGTGTGATGGAGGTGACAAAATTCAGCCAGTTTATTAAGGATGCTTTGGATAAGAGAAACATTTTGACAGCTGTTTGTGTTGACTTCAAGGGGGCTTATGATTCTGCCTAGAGGAAAAAGCTCTACCAGAAGCTCCTGAGTATTGCTATTTCATCAAAATTATTTAATTGGATTAGGTCTTAAACAAGTCAGAGGATATACAGGGTAAAGTTTGAAGATTCCTTCTCTAAATGTTTTAATTCGCAAAATGGGTTTCCTCAGGGAGCAGTAAGTAGCTGCACCTTGTTTAATATATATGTAATATTTTAAGAGTGCAGTTTAACTTCTGGCTGTAGACATAGCTGGGTGGAAGGCAGGAATAAGATGAACACAAAACTGAATTGAAGAATCACCATCTTTATTTCTACACATGTCAAATCATCTCTTTGGCAGATAAATTATTTTTCAATCATCGTTGAATACAGTCAAAAGTCGTTAATCCGGACTCGTCGAGACTTCGGCGATTCCGGATTATCGATTTTTCCAGATTATAGATCATCAGTTTAAATCTGGTCAGATGGCATGCAGAAATTATAAAATTAAAAACATGAAACCATAATTTATGAAATAAAGAACAATTATGATCTAAACGGTCTCAAAATTTACAAAAAAAAAGCTTAATATTTATTTGTTTACTTTATTAAACATTTCTTTCAATGTAAGTTGTTTCAGTTGCTTCGTTTTATGTGATAATACTTTCTCTTTAATTCTATAAACAGACACAATTTCTTCTTCAGTTACAAAGTTCCGCTGTTCAAGTCCTATAATTGCTGTGTTGAGAATACCGACTAATTTGTCAATCAAAATTTTTTCATTTTCAATAATCTCTGTGTCACATTCTTCACTATTGGAAGCGAATTATAATGATGATGAATTTGATTTAAATCATATAAAAGACAGAGTACATCAAGATGAAATACTACATTTAGTAAGGAATTATAAGCCAAATAAAATAAAAACATCTGCCCTGAAGCTAAGGATAGTGCTGACAGATCAATTTCCAATTCATTGCGTGCCGCGATGTCCCCCCCCCACCCCGGCCGCAGAGTAGCGTGAAATTGATAAATAGATTTCGGAATGGTTAGAGAAACGAAGGATATGCCTTTATCCATTTTTTGCAACAATTCCACTTTTTGCTTAATGGACTTTGAAACATACTTTCGCTTTGTAGATCCTTTACATATTGGTAAATATAAATCGGAAATTCTACTTGACATAATCGAAAGTTCAAGCTTACTTTTATAAAATTGCTCTAACAGTCTGCAAAAAATAATAAGCCGGATCCAATTCGAAGCTTAAGGAACAATGCAATCTGCAACATTAACTGAATTAGATAATTTTAGCTTAGTACTTATACCATCCGTTATACATTAAACATGCATGCGTAAACGTATTATGCACATGCCCACACACATATTCGCAGCCGTAAAGGTGTTACGCGCATGCGGTAATCCGACGCATGCGCAGAAAGTTTGTAGCTTTGAGGTCCGGATTATAGATCATTCCGGATTATGGGTGTCCGAATTAATGACTTTTGACTGTATAATAAATTTTTATGCAGACTGATTTTAAAAGTATGATGTAAGCAGGAAAGCATACGCAGCATGGTTACATTTGCATAGCAGAAGTCAGAAAAAAGGGTCAGCATAATTGCTAAACAGTATTTATACTATGTAGATGCAAATGCAAAGTTGAGAATGGTTAATTTTTAGTTACCTTTTTCAAGCAGTGTTATGTAATTTAGATAGATCTTGAATTTGGGAGAAAGGATAAACTTAGAGGGAGAGCACCAAATCTAGAATATTAATTTTGAGATCGCCAATTATTCTTAAAGCAGCCAGCAAATTTTACTATATCTTACATATATATATATGTAAGTATATAACTTGCTATATATAAAAAGCAAACTTTCTAAACAAGAATATAAAACTAAAATTTTAAAAAAGCTTTTCTTAAAGTTTTTTATTTTATTAAAATCAATTGTGACTTCGGAGAACAAAAATCATTTCTATATGAAATAATTTTCGAAAAATTTTTTTTTACTAATAAATTGCCATTGTTTTGATGTTAACGTACTCTAGAATACTGAAACTAAATATTTTACCATGTTATTCATAATTATTACTATAAATTATTCCTTCAAAATTTTGACTTATGTTTTCATTACACAAGAAATAATTTTTATCCCACCTCCCATCTTAAAATCATTTAATGAATTCAGTATACTAGAAATTTAAACAAACACGAAATCAGAAATAATCAAACATTATATTCATTTATAAATTTAAAAATGAATAAAATATAAGCAAGATTTCAAAATCATAGTAATTTGGAAAAATCTGCAAATAAAGTATACTTTACCCAGCCCTTATTTTCACAACTACTGTGCATAGACATACACTTTTGCTTACAAAATGGTTCAAATAACACAAAGATTCATGATTGGGCACTTTTAAATTTAAAGAAATCAATTTTGTAAAATTTAGGAAATCTAACACTTACACATTTTTCAGGTTCCAATATTTATGTTTAGAAATATTTTTACTTTTCACAAAAAAAAATAAATACAAAGTTTACCTCTTGTATGACAAAAATTGAGATATTTCATACAAAAATTGGAATCACATTCAGGGGTTACATGCAAACTGAAAGGAGAAAGGTTTGGTATTTATATGTAATTAAAAATAAAATATTGTTTAGAAAAAGGTTTCTGATATTAAGATATTATATGACAAGCATTTGTATGCAGATTATTGTGATAAAATATTGAATACTACACTTTTTTCAAAAAATTTATTGATTATTTTTTTTAAACAGAATCTCATACAATTCATCTACTGGAAAACATTCATAGGCTGCAGTATTGACCCGTAGTCAATTTGTATTATTATTTGCATGAACTAAAAATGAAAAATATTTGTACTTTAATGAATTTTTTAAGATTACCAGATAATGATTGTAAAGTAAGAGAACTTCATAAGAGTATTGCTAACCTATTTTTGGACTTATAAATTACTTATGTGAAAGCTATACCGAATGTAACAAAAATTACAAGTATTGTGTGTGTGTGTCTGTATTTAATTATGGCAAAGCACACGAGGGCTATCTGCCTAAGGGGAGGGATGCCTTCGTGGAGGACTTTCTAAGGGAAACTGGCTCGTATACACGTTACACATGGGGAAAACCACGAAAACGCCCATGCAGCCAGCCCGTTCACGGGATTCGAACCTTGGACCGAACTACCGGTGTTCAGCAACTTTACCGCTCGGCCGCTGGTGGGCCCAAAAATTACGAGTAAAAACAACAGTGAATCCTTGAATGGTATTTAATTAGGGAAAAAAATCACTTAAATTATCCTACCTTATTTATTAACCAATCCCTTAAATATCTCAGTCAATTTTTATAACGTTGAATGGTATTTAATTAGGGAAAAAAATCACTTAAATTATCCTACCTTATTTATTAACCAATCCCTTAAATATCTCAGTTAATTTTTATAACGTGGAAGTCAAACTTTTAGTATTCATTTTTTACAAGTACAAAATTTTCCTAAACATTTAGTAGAAGGACCAGAGGAATATGTAAAAAGTTAGATTTCATATTTTTATATATTTTTTAATTAGAAAAATGCAAACATCAATCTTTGTGTCATTTAAAACATTTTCGTAATTGGATGTGTATGCTTACATAAAAGCTGCATCAGAACTTTTGTGGACAAGGTGTAAATTTAGTCCTTCAATAATAGGAAAAGAATCAAACAAAACATTTCCTTCATGTAAAAGAATTCTTTTTCCCTGCTAATTTTAATCTAATCAAAATTTGAAAGTAATAAGTCTTTATTTCTTTAAGTAATATTTACACAACTAAGCATTGTCATTTAAAATGAAAATTCTAAGAAATTTAACTCCTACTGAAAAGTTAGAATAATAGAAACTGAAAAATTCCTTAAAAGGAAAGCTTGTGTAATGGTAATATAATGATATATTTTTTAATTATGTGGAAAACAAATCTGTAAATGATTCTATGTAATCCAAAAAAATATTTTTGATTTATACTAACCAATGACTCATCAGGATAAACAGCAGCATTACTAGCAGTATGTCCTAATGCTTCTGTTGGACTTCGAGGATAAAGGGATGTAGCAGATCGACGCCGCCGAGTGTGTGTACAGTTATTCGGTATCTTATAGGCACAGCGTTTATGAAAATTTAGTCCACACCCTGAAAAAGGACAATATTTTTAATAGAATTTTCATAACTGTTTATATGTATTTATCAGGATTTGTTTTCATTAAATACTGTATTTGTATTCATTGTAGTAAATAATAATTTATAATGCAACCAATTTTTTAGTAGTTAAATTTTTCTCAACTTACTAAAAAACTTTTTGTGACATATACTATCTCAAATGGTGCTTAGAGGAAATCAACAAGCATAAATTGTATGGCATGGAAAAACTGTCAAAACAAAAAGAATAAAACAGTTGCAAATAAAGTGCAGTTTTGTTACACTTTATTTAGACTTATTTCCTGCATACAGTTTATTATTGCATTTAATTATCACATGTAATTTATAACTGTCATGTACACATAAAAGTAGGCTTCTGAAAAAAAAAAAAAAAAAAAAAAAAAAAAAAAAAAAAAAAAAAGGCATTTTACTTTTCCATAAAACATGTAAAAATAGTCATGAAAGATATCTATATATCAATAGGAAGAGCATTAGAATATGCATGAAGTATTCTTTTTTTTTTGAGGATGTACACAAATTGTCCAAGATCTAAGAATGTGTTGTTATGCCCAAATATAAAATAGTTCAAAAAAAAAAAAAAAACTTCATGTTCTAAAAGTCTTCATTTTATTTTTACATCTGATCTCATTTATATGGTTCTGAACTCACCAACAAATATGCCTACAGAATGAGTATTTGGAGGAAAGAATGGCCAGTCAGATTGGAAGCTTAGAAAACTTGATTACACAAATTGATCAGTCAACTCTATAAGTAGCAATGGCAAGATGTCACATTTGATTAACTTTTACAAGCAAAGAGACACTCTTTGAGAGAATAATAAAAATTTTTGCCCAAAAAATATTATATACTTATACAAAGTTACTGTGAAACTTGATTCACAGTAAGGTATCTGTATAGGATATTGGTTCTATGCCTTCCAGCTATCATTTCTGATAATAGTGTAATTTATTTAACTATTGGCAGAAGAACTGTGATGCATTAAAAATAATACCATGATGCTGCCTGCCATACCAGTGGCCAAAGTTAAAATCCCACAGAACGCATGGATGTTTGTAAGTGTATAGTGTCCGTGTGACAATGGTGTATTCAAAATAAACATCAAGCCGGAAGTCCTCTCAAGTGGGTGGCAACAAGAAAAGAGGGGTGTGAGACCCTTGAACTGCACTTGGGCAACTTCATTGAAATTGGGGCAGATTAAAAAGTGCAAGAAGCAGTTTTAAAATGTGAAACTGTTGACTAAAGTATTGAATTTATTGCACATTTCTTCTCCTTTTACATTTTTGAATAGTTCTTCAAGCATATGATTTACAATTTTATTTATTTATGGCAACTATATACAAGATATGAGACTACAGAAATGCATATGAAGTAGATAAAAGAACATTATTGAAAGCAGTAATTCTCAACTGATTTCCTTGAAAAATGGAAAACAGTAATAATAATAAAAGATATTTTTTCTTGTGCAATACTGAGTTCTTGCTTTAATGCCTGCTTTCAGAAAAGATTTACATTCTACACTTTCCTTTCAAGAGGCAAAATTAATTAAAAGTTGGAGGGAACATAACAAAAAGTAAAGTAACTATGTTGCCAACATGAGGAGTTAAATAGAAATGGGGTTCAATTGGGAAACAGCTTTGATGATTAATCATAAAAGGGGTGACTTTCCTTCATAGTAAGTAGCTGCTTTAACAAAATCTTACAAAAAAAACTGTACTTACTGCTTTAAAAAACTTATCAAAAGCTAGCTCAGTATAACTAACAGCTTATAATATAAAATTATATATGTTTAATTAAATGAATAAATTCTAGAAGTAATAAAAAGTCAGTAAAACAGAGTTAAAATATGCACAAAAAATTATGAAATATTAACAAATAGTAAAGGAGCTGATTATTTTGCTGACTTCATACAAGTCAATAATAGATTAGTTTAATGTGATTTATCTGTTCCCAAGCAACTATACATCTGCTTCACAAACTTCTCACCTGTGAACTAACCCAACGGCTAATCTCTGAAATTTTTAGTTATATATATATATATATCATATTAGGTCTACAGAAAAGTTCTGTCCATTTTTATGACAACAATTTCCGACATGTAAACTCATATTCATTTGTCGCATGTTTGGTTTTCTATTTTTATTGCTTAATGTGTATATATATATATACTGATGTACCAAATTGACTAAAATAAAATTGATTCATGTTAGTCTTAAGGGTGAAGTGATACTGTACCCATGGCTACTATAAAGTTCATTTATGCCACTGTATTTTATATGAATTTCAACAAGGAAGAAATGCTACAGAAGCATGTAGAAATTTATTAAAAATGCTTGGTGAAGGTACAGTTTCTGATAGGACATGCAGAAGATGGTTTGAGAAATTTGAAACAACCGATTTTGAACTTTCTGATAAGCCACGTTCTGCACAACCATCTTTGATAGACAATAATGTTGTTAAGACCATGTTGGAGCAAGATCCTTTTCTGACAATATCAGAGATTGCAGAAAGGCTTAATTCAGCTCATCAAATCATTTTGGACAATATTCGGATGATAGGATTAGTGTGGAAATATTCAAGATGGGTGCCACATGAATTAAGTCAGAAGAATTTGGATGATCAAGTCATCATATGCACATATCTGCTTGCTCGGAACAATATCGAGCCCTTCTTGAATCAAGTGATAAATGGGTTTGAAAAGTGAATTGCCTATGAAAACATCATAAGGAAAAGGGCATATTGTGAACCCAGAAGACTTAGCCCTTCCACCTCTAAACCAAATTTGACTCTGAATAAGAGAATGTTGTGTATATGATGGGACATTCGAGGACCAATACCTTATGAGCTTTTAAAACTGAACGAAAAGCTCAATTCGAAGACGTGTAGTCAGCAAATGATAATTTAAAGCCAGCAGGCAAAGAAAAGAGGCTGGCAATATTCAACAGGAAGGACATCATACTGCATCATAATAATGCCAGGCCACATGTTGTTTTGGGGACTTGTCAAAAATTTGCAGAACTAGGCTGGAAAATTCTATTGTATTCACCATATTCTCCAAACTTAGCACCCTCCGACTATCATTTGTTTTTGTCCTTACAAAACTTTTTGAAGAGCAAAAAATTCAAAAATGAAATCAAACAAGCACTGGTTCAAATTTTCGCTTCAAAAGATACAACATTTTTCAAAAATGGGATAAATTGCCCTCACGCTGGCAAGAAGTCATTAATAATAATGGCAATTATATTATTTAATTTACTGAGGGTAAGAAAATTTGTGTTTTGTTTTATTCCAAAAATGGGCAAAACTTTATGGTAGACTGAACACACATACAGTCAAAAGTTGTTAATCCGGACTTGTCGGGACTTCGGCGATTCTGGATTATAGATCATCAGTTTAAATCTGGTAAGATGGCATGCAGAAATTATAAAATTAAAAATATGAAAATGTAATTTATGAAATAAAGAACAAATATGATCTAAAGGGTATCAAAATGTACCAAAAAAAAAAAAAAAAAAAAAAAAAGCTTAATATTTATATGTTTACTTTATTGAACATTTCTTTCAATGTAAGTTGTTTAAGTTGCTTCGTTTTATGTGATTATACTTTCTCTTTAATTTTATAAACAAACATAATTTCTTGTTCAGTTACAAAGTTCAGCTGTTCAAGTAATATAATTGCTGTGTCAAGAATACCGACTAATTTGTCAATCGAAATTTTTTCATTTTCAATAACCTCTGTGTCACTTTCTTCACTATCGGAAGCGAATTATAATGACGAGGAATTTGATTTAAATCATATAAAAGACGGAGTACATCGACATGAAATACTACATTTAGTAAGGAATTATAAGCCAAATAAAAACATCTGCCCTGAAGTTAAGGATAGTGCTGACAGATCAACTTCCAATTCATTGACGAGGTCAACTTCCAATTCATTTACTCGTCATTATAATGATGTCAACTTCCAATTCATTGACATCATTATAATGACAAGGAATTTGATTTAAATCATATAAAAGATGGAGTACATCGAGATGAAATACTACATTTAGTAAGGACTTATAAGCCAAATAAAATAAAAACATCTGCCCTAAAGATAAGGATAGTGCTCACTGATCAACTTCCAATTCATTGCGCGCCACGGCGTCCCCCCCACCCCGCCGCACAGCAGCATGAAATTGATAAACAGATTTCGGAATGGTTAGAGAAACAAAGGCTATGCCTTTATCCATTTTTTGCAGCAATTCCACTTTGTTTGATGGACATCGAAACATACTTTCACTTTGCAGATCCTTTGGCAGCTCCAGAATCGGAAATTCTTTTTGACATAATCAAAAGTTCAAACTTACTTTTATAAAATTACCGACTTTTGACTGTATATATATATATATATATAGCATTAGATAATATAACATTAAAAGTTTTAAAATTTGTTTAAAACCATAAATTGAATATAGAATACAAAATGCATATAACTCATACAGCAAGATTATTTCCAATAATTCTGCTTCCTATCTCCACATATATTAAAAACAGCATAAAATGTATTTTTATTTGATATTTTACATACCTTCACATTTGAGCCCTTGTCTAACAAGACCAAATAGCATTTCACCACAAAAATCACAGAATGTAGGAGATTTGTATGAATGGACCATTAATGAATGTGGCATGATCTGGATATCTTCAGATGGATCTTTACCTATTTAAGAAAATTAATATTATATATTAAAATAATCTGATATGGACACCACGTAACTTCTTTGTACACTTATTAAATTATACACACTTTTTGCTACACTTCATTTAAATTTGTTTTCTCAAATTATTCTAAATTTATCAATTCACCAGGGTAAGTTCAAAATGATGTCAAAAACTACAAATTTTGAAATTGAATATTCCAGTCAATTTTTGTTGTATGGGAGACAAACTTCTTGTATTTTTATTCTTTCATAATAAGTATAAAAATGAATAGGAACTGACAAACTAACATTAAATGTTACATTTCATTATTTGTCCTCTTTTTTTTTTTTTTTTTTTTTTTTTTTTTTTTTTCTTTTCTAAATTTGAAAAAGGCAAAACATGAGTACTTTCATCATTTAAAACACTTTTCTAACTAAAAGTATATGTCAACAACCAACAATTTTGAAAATAAGCTTCATGCTTTTTACAAGAAACTTAAATTATCACTAAATTCAGAATACAGTAGCTTTTCTAATTTATATGCCAGGACTTAGAAGAGAAGGGCTAGTTCATAGAGCTTTTCCCCTGAAATAGAAAGAGAAGAATGATGGCATTGTCATGCTGACACTGATTGCAAAGACGCAATTTGCAGCAAAGAAATAAACATTTTAAATTTCAAAAAGCAGCCTTAAAAAACTGTGCATGGAAAAGAGCTTTGATTTAGATAATTTAAAAGAGAAGGTGTTATTACTGTATGCACTTATAACATTTAAAAAGTTAAAAATACCTGTCTATTAATTTTAAAATAATGGATAAATCACACTATGTTTTCTACGTAAGTTGCAGGTTTTTCCCCTATCTGCATTTATTATTAAATCATGAAGAAAAAAACGATGGCTTTCATTATCTTTTCTTCATCTGCATTCTAAGTGGGTGAATTCTATTAATCTTTCTAATAATAACTATAATAATAGCTTCTCATAGTTAGGCCCAAAAAATAACACCTTAGTTTGGCATTGTTTTGAATATATGTGTCATTTTTTCCCCCTCCTGCAGCTAAAGATGAACTTATGTTTGACTACCCTTGAAATCAATACTTTTATTCAAAATTTAATCTAATCTAAGACTGCTTTTTTGACCTAATAATGAATTTCACATTGGCTTGTTTCTCTTCCGATTTTATATAATAGCAGGTATTTTTAAAATAATTGTCTAACTTATAGTCACATTTATACACATGCATTACATTTAAACAAATATGTGATCATTGTCTTAAGTTTCACAAAACAACTTTGCTTACAGTATCTAAGGACTATTACATAATCTTTCAAAAGAGGACAAAGAAGGAAGATCTTTTTTATTTGAAATTAATTTGAGGCTGTATAGGATTATAAATTACCTAAATTGCTGAGCTATCTTTATTTTTTACAAATTATCAATGCATTCTTGTATATTTTTACATTTGGGTCATTCAGCAATGTTTACATCATCATTGGCAAGTTCTTTTTTAAAATCATTCGTATCTAATTTATTATTCCTATCATCATTTTCGTACTCAACCTTAAAATGAGTTTTCAAATTTATTTCCATGAATTTTATGGCTACAACGCAAGAAGACATATTACATAAATGATACTTTAGAACAGTGGTCTCAAACTTACACTGCACGCGGGTCATGTTGTTTGCACAGTTTAAAAGTAGCTGCTGGGCAGCAGTTACCAAAAAAAAGGCAGGTTTTTTTTTTTTTTTTTTTTTTTTCCAACAAAGTAAAATTTGTTATTAAAAACTTTTACTAGATATTTGTAAAAACATACAAATAAAAATAACACAAAGAAAAATATCAAATTTATAATTATATTTTGCCTGAAATCTAAAAGTTGGTATCTGCAAGAAATTTCTGTTGGTCACAATTTGGAATTCAAACAGAGAGTTAAATATTAAAATATTCAGGCTGGTGTTTTTCAACTAATTATAATATATTGAACTACCCAATAACTTACTTTAATCCTTTCAGGATGGGCATCCCATATACTCATTCCCTAAGAACATCTCTTACAGCCGGGTATTTCATCCATGCATCACTAGGGATTGCATTCAGAGGGCAGGTGATGCATATATGCATTTTAAGCTGAAACGTTTTTCTGAAGACCACTAGATGGCATCCTATGTCCATTACTTTTGAAATTAACACAGTTTTGGGTTCCTGACCTTGAGTTTGATATATTCTGTCTGACATTGGTATTTTACTGATCAACTATTGCGAAGGTGGGGGGGGGGCGCAAACAAGAGTGGGCTCTTATTTTGGAAAGCCTCACCTCCAGTCTATTATGGTGTGAAGGTGCAATTTTTCAGAGGAAGAATACACTCGTATGGTTAATGAACCATTTACTAACACGGATAAGAGTGATGATTTATTTTCTGAAGAGTTAGAAAGTGATACTTCTCCATGCTTCGAGATTTACCACACTCTGTCTTCATTTTAAATTTGATACTATTCGATTTTGAGGGCCGTAATTAATCGCCAAACTATTGTTGATGCCAGTGCTGCCAAAAATAATTGCAGCAACCCTAACGCAAAAGAAAGGAAGTATAATAGTAAATAACTATTTAGAATTGATGTTTTAATTTACATGAAAAGTTAATTTCATATAGTACTTTTTTATTATTATAATTTATATAAAAAAGGCTAACCATGGCTGAATGGAAGCATAAGAGTAAATAACTATTTCAGATTATGATTTTAATTTAGATAAAAGGTTAATTTCACATCATACAATTTTTTATTATTATTATTTATATAAAAAAGGCTAAAATAACTGAATGGAAACATAATAGTAAATACCTATTTCAGATTTTTATTTTAATTTAGATGAGACATTAATTTCATATAATACAATTTTGTATTACTTTATGAAAAAAAGGTTAAATATACTTGAAATTAAACGGGTGGCATAAAATTTTTTATGTCTTCCAACATAGCAGAAAAAATTTCAGTTTTTTTGTGCAAACGTCTGTACATAAACTCGGAAAAGTAAGAATCAAAATGCTGTCGAGCAGTGCCCTGATGGCGTTTATTACGCCATTTAGCACTGCCCCACAGTCGCTCTACTGTTTGTGTATGACACCCACTTTCCGGGTCCACAAAATTGTAGTTGTGGTTGACAGTAAAGTGTTCAAAACCGGCATCTTGCAGTTCATCTGACTTGTATGATTTCCAGCAGTCAGTATAAATAATGCTTCCTTCTGCAATATTATCCTTTATGATGGCCCCACAGTCGCTCTACTGTTTGTGTATGACACCCACTTTCCGGGTCCACAAAATTGTAGTTGTGGTTGACAGTAAAGTGTTCAAAACCGGCATCTTGCAGTTCATCTGACTTGTATGATTTCCAGTAGTCAGTATAAATAATGCTTCCTTCTGCAATATTATCCTTTATGATGTTCAATAAGGTTTTCGCCGATCGATCTGGAACAGCGACTAAGAAACTCATTTGATTCTCTGCATAATCCGCCGAAAACCCATTGTGGTGGAAGAACACGTCCAACATTATTCTTTCTTTTATTGAAAAGGCTTTCGTCTACTTCAATAATTTTGCCACATCTGTCAATTTTAGACTTGGGCCGAGCAACTAACACTGTGGCACACACCTTCATGCATGTAACTGTTCCAGTCTACAACTGTACTGTGGTTCATCCTGAGCTGGAGTTCACTAAATTCAACAGATGTCATTTCCTGACACCAAAACAGATGAACCTAACGGCTGTAAAGAAAAGGATTTTCGATTATTCAAACCAATTTTGACTTCTTAATCCTTTCTTCTCATTACAGGTTTCTTTCCTGCACTGCCATTTTGCTACCGAGTTATTTCTAAAGCATAATTTCATCTCATAATTGTTCAAACACAATTTTCTATCATAAATGATGCCTTTTTTTTTTTTTTTTTTTTAAAGATTATACTGCAGACTTTTCTTCACTCGGCAATTCCCAAATTGTAAAATCCATAGTTTTATCAAAAAGAGAATTAAAAAATTAAACTAGTATTTCAATGGCGACTTACAAATATAGAACTATCTAAAACTTACGCAATTTGAAATCAGCGCGTTCGCGAAATTTGGCATGCTGTTTAATGGGCGAGTTTGCTAGATTGGCGCTTTTGCGCATGCATTTTCGCTGTAATTTTTTATGGTCCCCGAAACGGAATTTTACCTTAAATTCTATTACTTCTTACTGTAAATAGGCTTTATTGTATTGTTTTATTAATTTTAAACTTCCGAAAATATTAAAATTATTTATCAAGATAAGCAATTTTTTTAATATATTTTCATGTAAAATAAAGAAAATAAAGTTTATAAATGCTAATTTTAATGTATATAAGACCTCAAGTAATAATCTAAAACGATACCAAAAATTACGATGCTAGAAGTGAAAAATTTTTTTCTGATTTTTTTTTATAAAATTAGGCTTTTATAAAATTAGGCAATGCAAAATTCCCGTCCTGTACAGTGACTGCCTTCAATTCCCTTCCGTCCTGCACCAGTGTCTTAAACAAAGGTGTGCCGTCACAAAAAGGTTAAAACTAAATACTACTCAAACGAAAAAGAAATATACGAAAGCCTCCCATGAGAGAAAAAAAAACTTGAGATTAAATGATGACAACCTATTCCCTTTCTTTTAGTCATTAGGTTTTTCTGTGATGCAAAACAGAAAAATAATATTTTTATGTAAATTATTGTTAATACAGTACATTCTGATAAACTCAGTACTCGATAACCTGCAAGTCCAGGTAAACTTGGACACACCCTGACAGGTTGAAAAAAAAAAAAAAAAACCTGTGCCCAGACCCATTCAAGGTCATCTGCATGTGTCCATTTCTTCCTGCATTCCTTTGTCTTGCCTCACACTCTCATTCCTCCACCATGTGACTGGCCAGCTGTTCAGTCTACCTGCAGTCTCTGCCAGGATTACTTGATTTCTTAGCCACGTTGCGTAATTCGATGTGAGTGACTGTACTGTATTGT